GTCTCGAGGCTACAAGGCCCAAGTGTCCCAAAGCTACGGGTTCGATAGGTCCCAAGAGTTCCAAAATTCCCAAAAAGTGCTTAGACAGTCGATACAGGAAGATCTCGAGAGTCCGAGAAGCTTCACGAGTCCGCTCCTCGCCTCGGCCCCAAAACTGTCGACGTACGATGGCCCAAAGCGGGCCCAGGACTGGGACCCCGCGTTTTCTGCTCGCCGAGCATGCATATACGTATCCGTTAAGTCGACATAATACCGCGGGTCGCATCATTATGTACTCCATAAGTCTCCGGGCCTCGTACTCTCTCCTCTTCCTCTTCGTTTCGCTCGGAGTCTACTCGGGCCCTGGCAGCAAAAAGGAGAAAAGAAAAAGGGGCGCAGAGCGATGGTGGAGGGGGGAGAAGGGATACGGGGCCTTCTCGGTGTACCCGGATACACTCGCTGCGGGCCCTACACCACCCCCACCTCGTCCTCTGAGGCCCATGGGACCCATGGGGGCCCACGGAGGTCTGTGGTGGGGGTCAGATGCTGGCTGTAGCTCTCTGTGGCGTTCACCAGAGCAAAGAAAGGGAAAAAGACACGGCGAGGAAGGGGGGCACGGGATGAAAGGGGGCCTTACTTTTTCGCTCAGGGTCAGAGGCGTACATCACCCGCGAGCGCGCTCACTCGTTCGCTGGCGCGGGGTAATAGACTGACGATCGGCCGGATTTCTATGTGCACCGTCGGGCCCCCAACGAGAGCATAATTTTCTATCGTGCTTAATACGTTCGCCTGGCGGAGAGAACACGGCGAATCCCGGTAACGAGACGCCAATGACGGATTTACGGCGGTCCTCTTTCCGCATCGGAGGTCCCCCTTTCTCTCTCCGGCCCATTTCTTCTTCCTTTTTTTTTTTTTTTGCTTCGTTTTCTGCGCCGCAGGAACTTTCGGTCCCGATGGAAATTGAGTTGTGACGGTGAGGATGATGGAGGGGAGTCCGGACTCGATGACCGGCGATGACTTTCTCGTTGGGACTTAGGAATTTAGAGAGTTGGCATACTTGACAGATTTTTGGGACCTACGAAACCGAATGATCCAATCTTCTATTAGGTTGTCCCGAAAGTTTGTTTGGCGAGTTGCACTCAATTATTTTATGTAGTCGTGTTTATATAAATAGACAATCTAATTTCATAGATATTTATGTTGTAACAGTAATGGAGTAAAATGAATCGTGCACAATTCAGTAATTTAACATGAAACATAAAATATTGTGCATGTATTACTTATTAATAAAGCGAAAGGAACTTTTGGGACAACCTAATATTTAGAAGACTGAAATTACTTTCGTTGACTCGTTCGAAATTTGGAGACATTTACTGTCCATCAAGTTGTCCTAATAATTATGATGTAATTATGAAGTAATTATGAGTTCATAATTGATTGCAATCGTATATTATCCGCAATCTTAAATGCCGGGGCTGGCTCAGGAACAAATTATATTAGATGTCGCTGGCTGGAAAAAAGCGAGTTTCATGTTGATAATTATTAGGAACAAATTTCTTAGTTAAAATTGCGACACAGGTGTGAACGCAGCCTCGACTCCCGATGGCATCGATTCGAGTTATAGAGCACCGTCGCCCGTGAATATTGCATGAGAGACTTTTGTCGCGCTTACTGTTACACGTCGCTCCAGATTTGGGGAAGTTGGATAGGCGACGACCAATTCTGTACAGGCTGTCACATCGCGTTTGGTAATCCGGAAGTGATTACACTTTGCGTATCGGCTACGCGACATTTATTCGGAACGTTTGTAGAATATCTATCGCTACTGGCAGATGAATGAGTCAGTCGCGACCGTTGTCAGGCTGACGGAGGCCAGACGAGAAAATGCTTTTAATTGTAATCAATTTGTTGATGTAATGAGACTGAACAATTGCATTTCGTTCTTTTACATGTTTGAGCTATGGTATTGTTTATTTTTATGAAAATTTAATCCATCGCTCATTTATGTATGCAATTTGTACGTGTATGTATCTGTGTGTTTGCAAGTGTATGAATTGTATGCTGAAACTGTAAATAATTTAGCAATGAATGGAGAACGTCCATTATTAAGTTATACGGAGGCAATGTGTAGAAATAAAATTAGAAGATAGAAGAGGGATTAGAAATACATTAGCTAACATAAGGTAAGAATTATCTCTGCCTTCGCATAGTTTGAACACTGTTCAAATTTCACGGAACTTACAAACTTACCTGAAGTTTAAAATTCAAACATTTTTTTAAAGAAGGAGACAACTTCGAGTAATTCATAGTCTAGGGTTTTGTGCAACTCTGTTGAACAGTCCAGAATCATTTTTACGTTAATAATGTTCGAAATCGAGAAGGTATTTTTATGCAAAATGATAATAGATGAAAATTTCATTGCAGATCCGACGAAGATGATCCTAGCGGGTGTAAATATAGAAGGCTGGAGGGCGAGAATGTACAGGACAAAGAAAGATTTGCGAGGTAAGTAACGTGCATGCTCTTGCCCTGACAATATACGTGGGAGGTCAGTGAACGGGTTAAGTGTCCTTTTTTCGGGAAAGAATATGCGTTCATTCCGAGACGAAGAATCGGATGATATCAATATTTTAGATGTAATCAGTAAAATATAATATTGTAAATAATTCAGTTTCGAAAATCGTCGTTAAAATAATATTTAAAGATCTGATGCAAATGAATAGTCCTCAAACATCTTCAAACCCTACCCCGAAGAGGACTACGTTCGCTAGGGTGATTTTCAATTTGGAAAACCATTGTTAAAAGTAATACAATATTTAAAAATCTGACGCAAACGAATAGTCTTCAAACATCTTCAAACCCTACCTTAAAGAGGACTATGTTCGCTAGTATAGCCCTTATTTCAATGATTTTTGAAACTCATGTTACCCAAATACCTTGGAAATACATAAAAAAATGCCTTCAAAATTCATAATAATTTTCTACATTGCAGCATTTAATTCATCATCGAAAACCATATAAGACTGCCTATCTTCAAATATTGATTTACAAAAATTGGTAGTCGATGTCCACAAACGAATTCCCGCTTGACGTTCACACCCGTTAGATCAATTGAAAAATCATTCACGGGGCGTTTGCCACTATCTCGTCCCGAAAATCAGTCCCGCTCCTCTGTCCGAATCCTTCTTTCCGCGGTTCACGAAGGCCACCGGTCACTTTTCCGATAGCCAGTGGCGAAGGCGATTGTTAATTCGTCTCACGGAGCCCCGAGATCCCAATATGTTCCAGCGGTACACCCTGTACATGGCTGGTCGGGTACGAAGATACATACATACCTACATGATACCCGCCAATGTGAGTCGATAGCGGAATGGGAAGCCCTCCAGGCTGCTCCAGCGTGGGAACATAGGGTACTTATACGCGCGCAGCGTCCTTTGGCTCCGTCTACGCTGAAGACATCGTATCTTGATGCTCGTGTTGACACGGCGGATTCGCGAAATGAAATACGACGAGCGACATGCATTATGCCAGACAATGCACGGTTTCTATTGTCGCGGGGCGATCTAACGACCGTAGGGGCGAGGGGACCGATTGTTGGAAATTGTGGGTGGATGGTGTCGTTTGCTCGGGTTGGAACTGGGTCAGGTCTAAGACAAATTGCGTTCGACTCTTGTAACCATTTGACTCGGGTGATTAAGCTGCTCGATGGAAATTGTGCTATTGCATTTGTTGGGAGATGAGGTACCGTAACTTTTGGAAGGGAGGTTAGAGGAAAAGGCGAGAAAGTGATTATGTGGAATCTAGAGCGGTAAAGTAAAAGGAATCGAGACATTCGTGTAGCAGGCACAGGAAGGTTTCAGACGCGTAACAGGAATAGAAGGAAATGCGTAAGGTAGTGGGAGAAACGAGAAACTAGAATATGAGGTTAGGAAAAAAGGCGGGAAAGACGTTATGTAGAATCCAGAACAGGAAAATGGTAAGAAATTAAGGTATTTGTACAAGAGATTCAAAAAGGAAAGAAACGCACAAAATAATAGGATAATCTACTACTAATTACTACTAACTAGTAACTAGAATGTGAGGTTAGGAAAAAAGGCGGGAAAGACGTTATGTAGAATCCAGAACAGGAAAATGGTAAGAAATTAAGGTATTTGTACAAGAGATTCAAAAAGGAAAGAAACGCACAAAATAGTAGGATAACCAATAGCTAGAACGTAAGGTTAGGTAAAAAAGGGCAGGAAGAAGTTATGTAGAATCCACAGTAGGAAAATGGTAAGAATTAAGATATTTGTATAAAAGATTCGAAAAGGAAGGGAAACACAAAGTAGTAGGATAAACGAGAAACTAGAATGTGAGGTTAGGAAAAAAAGGCGGGAAAACGATTAGGTGGCGTCCATCTTGGCTACTGTATAGGAATCCCATTTGTATAGTACCTACTAGTACCTACCTATCTCCACCAGATGGTGCTATCTCCACAAGGAATTAAAATTGAGATGAGACTGCAACGAGTGCACAAGCCTCAGAATTGAATGCAGATCGAGCATGAGTCGGACATTTATCGACATTATGCCTCCGAAGACTTCTGAGAAAGTGTGTCGAACACGGATGACGCATAATTAGCGTGTCTTTTGTCTACTCTTAATACCAGACACTTAAACTTCGATTACACGGTGTTTGCTATGAAAAGTCATCCTGGGAATCTTTCTAAAAATACGATTCTCAATTTTTATCAATTTTTCTTATGTTTTTCTACACCCTTTAAAAATATTCACGCGTTCAAATCAACCATTCTTTTTATTCTGTATTCGTTATTTTGTCCAAAGCTCGCATCTTCAAAATAAGAACAATATATACTTATCATATCGGCGAGCTTCGCGCACAATTCCTTATCGTCAAGATAATATTTTCTTTATTTCGTAAGTTTCAATTATTGTTCAACATTGATATGTAATCTGTCGTTACATTTTTCTGACAGAATCCGCGCATGCTCTCCGATAAAGGCTCGACGTTTGATATTTATTCCCATTGTTTCCGATGAAGTGTCAGAGCCGTCGTTCCTTCCACAAAACCAGAAACAATGGCACTCCTTATCGCGATGTTTCGCAAACATAATTCTCCGGGCAGCATGTTTAATTGCTGGCGGACTGGGTTTCGAGTTACGGACGTGACTATCTCGCCATTTTCCCGATTTAGAATTTCCATGCACCTTGGCCTTGGCACTCTTCAATTCGGTTATTTATGGACAGAGTTACGTAGTCTAATTAGGACTCTTCTTAACAAAGCCAAGTTTACGAATTAAACCTCTGCAATACCTTTGTGCCTTGAACGTCGCGTATTTTTCTATCCCTCCAAAGGCCAATTTTTTATTTTCTTCTCTTATTAATATTCTAATGTTTATTATTATTATTATTATTTAATTTATTTAATGTCGCATCAGCATTTATGCCATTAGCGACCACTGTGGATTACATTTTCTTTACATTCTATAAATTACATATATGAATCATAAATAATTTACATAGATAATTACTTATACTTAGGTAACAAATTTCTAATATCTAATAATAAAAAAATAATTATTAATTTAATTGTAGCGTCCTGTCTATATGTGGCCTATATTTCTTCTGCTAATCCTGTCCTTTGTAAATATAATACAATTTTTAGTACGCAACTCTTGTCGTTTAAACTGTTCTTCAGAGTGTTTGGTTTGCTTCCTGTTTCGCGTATATTATCGTGCAATAGACATTCTTCTATTACATGTTTAACTGCGATTTTTGTACTACAGTTTGTGCAGTATGGGGTGATTTCTTTTGTAATTAGGTGGCTATGTGTTAGTCTTGTGTGACCTATTCGTAATCGGGTTATTAGAATTTGTTCTCTTCTTGGCAGAGAAGTAGCAGGATTTCTTAAAAATATATTTTCTCTTGACTCGTGAAGATCAGTATGTTTAGTCATCAACCACTCTTGGTTCCATTTTTCTAAGATTCTTTTTGCTATATCAATCTGTGGATCTTCCTTTGGTATTCCAATATTACTGAGGTTCTAATGTTTATGTCCCAGAATTTTTCTAGAAATAATTACAGCGTAATATAACATAATATAGAGTATCATTATCGTGCAATCCATTGCTTCCAATTTACCAATTAAATTGCTCTTAAATTGAGCCGAACCGAACTCGAAACCCTTCGTCTCCCCCAACCGTTGATAATAATTGAATTTTAATTAGTTTCATCTGCGAGCGAACCCTGAAATAAAGCTACATCCCGCGCTTCAATAATTCCTAGTACGTTCCAAACGAAACCGCCCACTGTATGTACAGGTTTCATGGAAAAGTCGGCAAGCCGCAACAGCCCCGATGTCGCGAGCGCCCAGGAACCTCACTTTTAAGTTAATAACGCAATTACTGCCTCCCGCCGCAAGGCGCGCAACCCTCTTATCCAGCTCCGTCCGCTCCCTCGGCTTCTTCAACTCGTTCCTCGTTTTTCTGCCCCCCGTCCCGTTCCCCGTTCTCCGTTGCCTCGCCACGCCAGGATCGCGTTAATACAGGCCCCCCGACGTTTTTGGCAGCGCAATCGCTCCAGCAGCCGCGATAAACCGCGAAATCGCTTCTTCCCCCGCTGTCACCGTCGCATGCCGGCGGTTACCCGAGATGGAACTGTTTTTGTCCTCCCACCGCCAACCCCCTTTCTTGAAAACATGGCGCGGACATTGTAATTTCGGCCGTCTCTTCCGCTACGACGACCGGTAGTTGCGGGTTTCATTGAAAACTAATTTCAATCTTTTGTTGTATTTTTTATGAGACGGAAGAGTGAGACACGGAGCGGCATCGTTGCTGATCCGTGTGTTCTTAATGTTAGAGAGGAGGGTAGGTGGGACAGGTAGATGAAAAAGTAGAAGTTGAGGTTAGAAGAAAAGGCGGAAAAGAGGTTGTGCAGGGGCGATTTGGTCGTGATCTGTAAAAATACTTACTTTATTCGTACAGTTCAAATCGCTGGATGCCTTGTTGCTCATTGGTAGCAGGAGTAACAAGATGAACGAAAAAGTAGCCATTGAGATTAGAAAAAGTGTCGGGAAAAAGGTTACCCGGCGGCCATCTTGGTCATAACCTATAAAATAGGTTACGATTGCTCTTTATTTTAATAGGATTAGTGGGATGAACGAAAAAGTAGGCATTGGAGTTAATACCTAACCCTACCCTACATAATACAGGCAAGTAACAATTTTGGAGCCAATATAGAGCGAAGATTCCCGGATCACCGGTTAGGTTGCACCACGTACGATGAACATAGCACTTCGCCTATTACGCTAGCACGGTAGTAAACGTACCACGGGGAGAATTTATCGTCTAGCACTCGCTTGCTTCACCTATGATTACATTGTCTTCGTTTGGAAATGATTTAGACGACACATAACGAGCCGCGTAGTTGTGTTCATCGTTTTATTATTTTCCCGCCAAAAGGAAGGCACACGACTTACCTGCGATACCGATAGATGGACGACTCCGACCGCCGCCATGTTTGAGGACCTTAGATCCACACGTATCGAGGTTTCAATTATATTTAACGTTGTAAACAGTGTCGTCTTAACGTATCGGCACTTTGAACACTTGCCAAGGGGCCTTGTGGCAACGTACAAAGTGCCACATCAGTTTAGATCTTTAAGGGGCACTGATAATAATAAATAGTGCCGTTTAGCTATCCCTAGTTGCAAGGTATCTTTTAAGTACGCGATTGTGTTTCCACGACCCCGGAAACGGAAATTCCACTGGAAAAATCATCGTGGCCCAGTTCGTAGCGCAAACATCTGTCCGTATTACCATGCGGGAATATTAAGATTTGGCATAAATCACTCGACGCTGGGATGCTCGTTAGCATACGTCCACTGTTGCACGGGCCGGAATATATTCGATAACGAATGCGATCGCATTAAACGGTCCTCGATCGATTCATAATTCATTTCATTGTTCCGCGAGGAGTCTATAAGTCGTATCGACTACGTTCAGCACGTATCACGTTCAGCTGTAATGATCGAGCCCCTAAAGGGACGTACCGAAAAGAGATTTTTATCAAATAGACAATTTTAAAATGATATTTCTTTTGTTGTATCGTCCTATGTATTTATAACATATTCTATTTAAATATCCGTTTCTCGGAGAATTCTTCTACGCAGGCGCAGCGACCATAGTTCCCCGTTTCGCGTCAGTGGCGCTAGTTGTGGGGCAAACAACTACGTTTTTAAGTTCCACGCAAAGCACGACCGTGAACGCTTTCATCCGCGCCGCGTGGCGCCAAACGTAGAAGTCCAGACGAAAATACGCGAGTTTCCTCTTCGTAATAATTCACAACCGCGGAATGCTGCGTGTATACAAGCAGACGTATTATGATTTTCTGGCATGAAACGTGTGGGTAATTCGCGGTCGATCTCTAGACGTGTCTTTAAGTATGAGTCATCTCGGAAGGGTAATTGAAGATAAATATAGGCGGGAGGCATCGACGAATCGTGGTTCACTTTTAACCCCCTGTAACCTCATGCGACCGAAGGTATATAAATGCTAGAGTAGGTTATTCTTTGCTAGACTTCCGGTACCCTAATTTAGGAATTTCTATGGAGACTCTGGGAAAATTTGGAGAAGAGAAAATAAATGAGAAATGAGGACAGTCTTGGCTACGGAAAATAAAAATTAATAGTGTCGGAGCTGCAACTGAAGATGCGGATTGCAACGTCTGCGAAACGTTGGCAACAAGTTGAAATTAAACGCTGCAGCCTTAGATCTAAAATGTCCTTGAATCTAGAAAGTTTTAATCTAAGGAGTCCTCGAATCTAGAGAGCCTCAAATTTAGAAAAGCTTAAATCTAAAATGTCCTGAAATCTAGAAAGCTTTAATCCAAGGAGTCCTCGAATCTAGAAAGCCTTAGATTTAAGATCTAATTAAATACAACGTTTGTCTAAGGTACCAACGTATGTACCACATATTGGCAAATATTTAGGAGCATCGAACGTGCAAGAAAGTAGAAGAGAAAGCATCTGTGAGGGAGAAATGTCCGTTGAAGGGAACCCAGGGACGAAGAAGGCGTAAAGGAATTTCCATCAGGCCAGCGTCATTGATAAGGGTGTTCGTGATCAATGCAGCCAATAAATTCTGAAACGATGCCTCATCGCGAACGGATATCGGGTGAAACCACAATTTCAGGGCCTCCCTGTTATTACCCTACCGGAGGGTAACCGCCTCCAGTAACAGCGCACGTCTCTTTGCTGCGACGGTAATTGTCGGCGCGCAATCGTAAATTTAATGGCATTTAATTCCTGATAATTTCCCTCGACCAAATTCGCGGCCACGCTAGATGCCCCGGAACTCGGAGAAACTTTATTTCTTAATTAACAGAGGCTCTCGAAACGAAACAATTTCGTAAAGAATTCGTGTCAAATTCAAATAAAAATGTGAAGATTATTCTTTTCTCAATGTTATCTCTCCACACATTCGATTTTTAGATTGCAGATGAGAGAATGTATGAACTCGTTTGTTTTCCAGACTCTGTATCTTGGATACTTCAGGTACCCATCAAAGGGAGGGGAGTTTCGTGTCTACCTCGGAGATAAGACCCTTCATCTCATTTCACGTCCATCAGGAACTATTACCGCATACTTACTCTACCTCTCGATCTTCCAACTTTCATTCTGTTCGTGTAAATAAGCAGAAAAGTACGAGGAATGCGATGAGATTCAATTTTCTCTATGCTTTGAACCTATGCTGGTGGATTGCAATTGAAGTTTTCGATTCGAGTTGCTTTAGTGACTACTGTATTCCTTATTTGATACAGATGTTTATTCTCTGAGTACATTTTGTATAGAGAGAATTATTGTGCATTCTCATAGGCTGAGAGTAAGTGGAGAAGCTTGTGAGTTAGAGTCTTTAGGAACGTAGTTGAAGGGATTGGAATCTGAAAGATTTAAGGATATCAGGTGCTGAAGTTGCAAGCTTTAGAGACGTTAAAATCACCTCAGCTGAAGATATTAGTTAGATATTATTAGATCCCAAGGATTTGAAAAATCAGGTGCTGAAGTTGCAAGCTGAAGACATTGGAATCATCTCAAAAGAAGACATTAGAGTCCCAAAAGCTTGAAAAATCAATTGCTAAAATTCCAGGAAGAAATGAAAACCAAGAACAGTGAAATGAAAACCAAGAACACCTGATGTCCCCTGAGCTGATAGACTATGAGGAAGAGATTATCCCGCGATGGTTCTTCGGTTGAAGTCACTAGAATCCCAAAGACTTGAGAAATCAGATGCTGAAGTTGCAAGCTGAAGACATTGGAATCCCAAGAACTTGAAAAGCCATTTGCTGAGATTTCAAGAAGAAATGAAAACCAAGAACCACCAAGATATTCCCTGAGCTGATAGACTATGATGCAGAGATTATCCCAGCGATGGTTCCTCGGTTCAAGACACTAGAATCCCAAAGATTTGAGAAAATAAACCAGAAACAGGAGTTGCAAGATGAAATGGAAAGTATGAATACCGAAGGCAACATGGAATCTCGAATACTTGGGTCGAAAGGATATTCGCCCGTGTTCGTGTTCGAGGACCTTCCATTTCGTTGGGGCTCTGGAGGAAACGGTAACGCTCCTCGAGGACGCAGGCCGGAGCGCAGGCTCGCTATTTAAAAGAGGCCAGGGCGCTTAAAGCGCAAGTATAAAGCAGAGTATGTTCCGTGCAGGACGGTAGAAGAACACGGGGAGAAAGGGCCAGAAGAGGAGCGCGGTTCAAGGAGCAGGACGGAGAGAACTCCTGGGTCAAGGGTCAGACGTTCCGAAGTTGCCCGCTCGCTCCGTGGGTCCAGCGGACGGTGTACAGGGTGGCCACTTTCGACACGACACTTGTACGCTTCTCCGAGCTCCCGGTGTCTGGAATAGACTAGAAGAAACGGCTACGATGTGTAGCTGCTATATTTTTGATGTTAGAGGAAGGAGGAACAAGTCAATTTATTAGTTCGACGCGTCGCCGGACGAATATTTTTGAAAATTTCTAGTAGGATGAAATCTTATTTAGAGCATTGGAGACTACGTAATCAATCATTTATCATGGTATTTATTTTTGTAACTTCGTCGAAATTTATGACGTTCGTTTAAATTCGTTTCCTGTGATGCTTAACTTTTAGAATTAATTTGTTTATTCAGTATTCATCACCACGAATTGTCGCCTAAGCATCTTTAATAATTGACCAATTTAAACATAAAGAAATTGAGTGACGTTATCAAACAATAACTGAGAATTGATAAGAGTCCAACCATGTCCTCGAACCTAGTACTTAGCCCTAGGGAACAATTAGTATCCAACTACAGTTTCCTCAGTGCTTAATATTGAAAATAAATAAAAACGAGACTGGCAACCCTCTGTTCGGGGCACCCTGTATATCGTTCTTCGCATTACGATGATACAAAGTCGGCGCTGAAGTACACGTACAGCGCACATAAAATCATTCCAAGGGGGAAAGGGGTTCCACGGTGCAAGGAGGGAAAGAATCGCGAAGGAGATCGCGGTCGAGTCGTCACCATAATCATCATTGTCGTCGTCGATACGCCAGGGACTGCTAGGCTCGATCCCCATAAATGACAACGTCGCCAGTCGTGAATTATGGGCAATAGCGACAGGCCTAGCCTAACAACCGCCAAGACGCTACGAGGAATTTATAATACACTATTTCTACCTAGCATTGATGACCTCTGAAGATGACTCGTTGTAAGCTCGTTTCTGAGATCATTTTTACGCGACGCATATTCTTCTCCAAAAATCAGTCGTTATCGATCCGTGTTTACTGACCTCCTGTTAGGTTTCTGGAACTATAGAACCTCGGTTTCACATCGGTTTTGTCTTCTGATTTGCAGCAGGGAGAATCACTGCGAGATCGAGCGGCGACGGCGGAACAAGATGACCGCCTACATCACCGAACTTTCGGACATGGTGCCGACATGTTCTGCACTGGCTCGGAAACCCGACAAATTGACCATACTCAGGATGGCGGTCGCCCATATGAAGGCCCTCAGAGGTGAGTAATTGCGTTTATTTACTTATAACGTTTGGAGACAGAAGAAAACGAATACTGCCTCTTTTCCTGAACGTATTAGTCCCCACGTCAGCAAGACGTGGGCAACAGGACTTTTCATTAAGCAGTGTTATAGCTAGACTGCGAATCTTTATGCATTTATAAGAAATTTGAATGTGCAAGAACCTACAAAATCCAAACAATATGTAAAAATATGAAAAAGATTGAAAGTAAAATTCACGTTATCATATTTGCAGAATAAAATAAATTCCTATTTAGGTTGAAATTTTTGTAGGCACGTTCGTGAAGATTTTATTTTGCATAAACATCCGCAGTCTAGTTATAGCTGTTTAGTCAGTGTTCCCTTTCGAGAGGCCCAATTGAGATTCACCTGATCCGGGAACAAGCTTCCACATGAGCAACCAGGGGGAAATCGATTTCTTGTCACGAAATGGACCAGTACTGTGTGTGTATACTTAATTTAGTGTGTCCTCTGTGTGTTTTACAATCGTAAAACAATCTTTCTGTCGCTGTATAATTTATAATAATAAGCATGGTCAACATCAGCAGACACTAGGCACTCTACATTGGGAATATTCAATCATTGGAAGCTTCGACTTAAAAATTCTCTGTGTGTATACTTAATTTAGTGTGTCCTCTGCGTGTTTTACAATCGTAAAACAATCTTTCTGTCGCTATATAATTTATAATAATAAGCATGGTCAACATCAGCAGACACTAGGCACTCTACATTGGGAATAATTAATAATAAGAGGCTCTGGCTTTAAAACTCGAGGTGATAAAACTCCTGCAATGAAAATATTTGTCATAACTGATAAAGTTGATCGTTGACCAGTTGATCGTTTGATTCGCGATCGCTCGAACGGCGTCTGGATATTTTCAAAGTTACGCATCGATATCGAGCGCGTATGAACGGAGCGTAATTTAATCGCCAGGAGTCATAGCTTAAAGATCGCGTTGCCGAAGTTATTTTGCTGCTCGTGCCGGATAACTCAAACATCGCCGGGACTTAATCGTCACGTTCCTCGTTGAACTACTTTGTGTCTTATCGGCCAGTCAGGGCTGAAAATGTATTCTTTCGCGTTCGATAATATCGCGCATTTCAATCTGCCACATGTTTCCAATCTGCTCTTGAAAATTTCTCTTCGATCAAACGCGATTCTGCGATGGACTTTTGTTAGCTTTGTTGGATTGATGTCGCAGGTAATGATGAATTTTTATATTGCGTCCTTTGAAGAAACACTTCGAACTCTTGTAGCTTTCAGAGTCTCGTCTGTGTTTGAGCTTCGAGGTGAATGTAGATGGACACGTGAATGTATATGAATAAGATAGTTTGAAAGGTTGGTTTGGATCATCTTAAGCTGACTTTGTTAATGGAAAAACGTGTTATATGAAGACAGCGGTTTAACAGTTTTAGATATATCACGTGTAATACCTAGAAAATGACCTGGACTCGCAAAGGAATGATGTTTGAGTGAAGTTATCCATGGTGTCTATAACGTGTCCATGGAAAAACGCATTATACAAGCACTACGCCACAGTGACTATCCCTCTACCTCATCTAACATCCACAAAATGACCT